ATAGGCTGCAGCTGACAGCAAACTTCCCACTGCGGATAGACAGTAGTGTGCTAAAAATAGCAGTGTGGATGATGCCGCTTGGGCTCTCAAGCCCACCTGACCCCATACATCTGAGCTTGGGTGACTAGCCCAAGTCTCCACCAGAGCCACAACATCCTAGTGCGTTAAAAATAGCAGTGTGGTTGAGCCCTGCTATCACGAGTCTGTCTACCCAGGCTGAGAGGTTCACTCCAAGTTGCAGCATAGACAGATCCCCAGTCTCCACTAGCACGGAGCCCAGACCGTGCCGAAAGGCCTCCACAGGGTCTGAAAGGGGAAAATGGTGCTGCTAAGGGAGTTGAACAGTGTTTAATTTAAGCCAGGGCTGAGCCCTGGCACCTCCTAGGTTTGGTGTGTCAGTAATGAAAGTAAACGAATTGCTTGAGTCCCGACACCTCTTTCATTACAAAGTAAGCACTGATGCTGACCCTGTTTTGGTGCAAAAGGTGGTGGAGATCTGTGTGCGCAGATCTAGGAGTGCAATCTGAGCCATTATATTTTAAATTCAATTACACTATTAGTATTATTATCTATCTACTACAGTTGCCACTGATGTTGCATATATTGTTACTCACTATTGGTTCACATGCCTCCTCAAATGGCATCTATTATGATATTAGATAAGTGGTGCTTAAAGTGTAATCAAAATTTTTAAAAATAACATCTCCAGCTTGGATGCTTTTGATCAAGGACACTGTTTAATAAACAGCAAAAGCCCTCTCAAACTCTATTTCATTTTTGAAATGACATTAGGAATTTTCATGTATTTATTGCTAAGGATTTCTACACTGACTGATGTAAAGTAAGTGATTTAAAGGCCCAATGCTGCTCAAATTTAATTCAATGGCAAAATTGCCATTTATTTCACTGGGAGCAAGATCAGGCCTGACAGTCCTTTAAATCCACAATAGGGGCCCTCTCCTGTAAGGTGATAAGCACCCTCAACTCCTGTTACAGTCAATGGACGTTTAGGCAGTAAGCATCTTTCAGGATCAAGTGCTACATATTCTTAAAACAGTTCTCTGCTTAATAAATAATGAGCTTTCTTTATAAGGATAAGCAAAGAGACAACCTTTAAGTGTATATAGAATGGTTTCATTCTTATGTAATAAAGGACCCCCCTCCTTGTTTCATTAGAAACAGCTTCATATAGCAGGACCACCACAAAAGACAGGACAGTTGTTTGCTAGACAAAAATGCCTCAAAATATGGTTCTTGGGGTTTTTTTTGTTTGTTTGTTTTTAAAGCAATTAACCACATTCAGTTTTAGAAATTGTGCATTTGACACATCTGCTGAAGTATTTCGAAACTAACAGCTGTTGTTACAATCACGTGATTATGAATTGGTTTTCAAGGAGGGATTCAGGTTTCATTTTTAATGTCTGAACGTCAGCAGTTAAAAAAATTATACAAAAACTATCATTGCAAATATTTTTCTTATCTAAAAATTTGAGAGAAAATTTAAAACTTATGAAACAGGAGTAACAGGACTAAACTGAAACATGTCTGGCAGGCAAATATTGTGCATTGCTGTTCCAATACACCAGTAGGCTGGGGCCTGATCCTGCATTCCTTGTCCATCCAAAACTCAGTAGGAATTCTGGCTGCACAACAAATACAGTATCAGGTCCCTCATAGGTTCCATGGCCAGAAGAGACCATTGTGATCATCTAGTCTGACCTCCTGTATAACACAGGCCATAGGACTTCCCCAAAATAATTCCTAGAACACATATTTTAGAAAAACAGAACTGGAATCCTGAACTGGAATACTTCAGATATCCCAGTCCTGGGTCTCTTTTGAACAGAAACTGTCAACAGGCAGAATCATGCCAATTTACTTGATGGTTTTATGATGCGCACAAGAGGAAACTAGGATAAAACTATCAAACTCATCCTCCAGTCCTGCTTCCACTGATGTCAGTGGATGCAGTATTGAGCCCTTGTTCTCACTTGTAAGCTAGTCCAGACTTTCTCAAATGTGGCCACTGTGGCCGCATGCAGCCACCAGGGGCTCTTCTTGCAGCCACAGCCTCCTGGGTAGTGACTTGAGGGGCAAAGCAATGGCCCCTACTCCAGGGTCTCCAGCAGGGGTTGGACCCTGCCACCTTCTGGAGCCACAAACACTGTAGGAGCAGGCAACCAGTGTGAGTTCCCCACTTTCCTGGGGGCGATGGGGCTTGGGCTTTGGCTTCAGCCCTGGGGTGGTAGGCAGCAGGCTCTGTCCCTGCGGCAGCAGGCTCTGTCCCCCAGCCACAGGGCTTCAGGCTCTGGCCATGGGCTCACCCTCTTCACTTCACCACTGGCACCCGCTGTCTCCAGCCCCCAGGACCCGAGGTTCCAGCCCCGGACTCACACACCTCCATTGCTCTGACCCCGCTGCCTCCTCCATCCTCCCATCCAGTCCCCCATCACCCCTGGCCCTCCTGCCTCCTTACCCACCTCCCCATCCAGGGTTTAATTTGTCCCCCAGCTTGGATGAGTGAGTCTGCTGTGCAAAGTGATATTAACAACTATACAAATATCACTTTTCACAGTAGCAGACATATTAGCGATCAAGTCTAAAAAAAAAAAATCAACCAAAAAAAAGCAAAACATGCAAAGCACCTTATTTGTGTTTCTATTCTATTTAGGTCCAGTAAAGAATAGGGACAACTGTACATTATTGTTATTATTGAGTCTGCAAAAAAACCCTACATAAATAAATTACAATGATTTGGACATGTATATGTGCATATTTATTTGTTTTTCGTAAAGTTAATTAAGTATTTTAAGAAAAAAATGTCATAGCAGCCACCAGCAAGAGTTGATGGCTGCTCTCTGAGGTCACCAAAAAATTTGTTGTGAGAACCCCTGAGCTAGTCTACTATTTGATCTCAGGACATTGGGGTGAAAAGCTAGTTAGTGCATTAAACACATTTCCTATTTTTAAAATTAGTTATCGTTCATCTAAACCACATCATTGTTTTCATTTTACTTAAGTTCAAAAAGTCTATTTTTATATTTTCTTTTTCTAATTGTTAGGTAGTTGTAGAGACATTGCACTTCTTTCTTCAGGTTTGTAAAGTGATCAGAATTTCAACTAACCAAATAGCTTTATACTAAGTTAATCAACCACAAATGTTTTAAAATAATAAAGTAAAGTACAACTGTGCTTGGAAGTTAGGGGTGTTTTGTTTGGTTGGTGGGTTTGATTTGGTTGATTAGTTGGGTTTTTTGGTTCACTCTCTGAAAACAATAACCTTCTTTAGGCATTTTTTTAAATAGCAAATATAAGGCCTGATCTTGACTTGAATAGTTTGCAGAACTGTTTCCAAAAGAAATGCAATTTGTTAAAATATTCGGCCCCATCCCAAATCCTTTAATCATGAGTAGTTCATATTCAACCAAACAGTCCTGTTTCACAAATGAGGACAAATTGCATCAGTAAGGACACCAAGATCAGTTTGTGTATACCCTGGTTTTGTGGAAGACGAAATCAAGAAGTATGCACAGGCATATAATACTATAAAAGACTTACTTAATGGGTGTTCCGTTCATGGATCATTTGCACAATCAAGCTCAACATTTCTTTAACAAGAACTTATGTATAGTGGCATGGTTTGGTTCAAAATTTATTAATAGAGTTGTACATGTTTTCTTTGTGTCTATTGCATTTCAGGAAAACTACCAGTTTAACAGACTTGGAAAACAAGTATTTAAAACAAAATGCTTACAGTATTCTAATTAGTTCATCAATATCATAAAATAAGTAAAGTCGGGTTGTATTATTCATCAGTTCACATGCCTGACAATTCTTATTTTGGTTTATTAAATTCCATAATAGCAATAAGTCTGAATTTCTAGATGGTGGCAGAACACATGAGAAGGCTGCAAGCATTCAACAATTTATAAACAACTATCACAATATATACCTGCTTACCTTTTGAGTAGGATTTTGCTTTACAATATTAGCCTCATTTAATAGTCCATTTATTAATGATTCCTCATGCTTCCAAATACAATTTTATTTACAAAATAAAAAATGTTCATTTATACTGCCCAATTTTCCTTTAAATACAAATAAATTGGAATTTGTAGGAGAGCGTATCAAAGGTATCCATAGTCTTAAAAAAATTAGAAATAAAACTGCAGTCGAGCAAGACAATATGTGTGTGCAATCCGAGGGTATTATTAAACTTCCAAATTTCACCCAGGAAGATACAACAGACAGGGTGCCCAAATATGATTGCAATGAGAACTATACAGTATCTACATATTGACGAGTTGAAAGCCTAAGCAACAGGTAAAACAAAAACAAAACAAAAAGTCTTGAGCGGTCTCTAAAAGAATTCCACAGATAAATGCTGAATATTAAAAAATTGCAAATATTTTATTTTCTCATTCAGCACACTGTGCCTAAAATACTTGTAGCTTTTGTGAACTTAACAGGAACCATTTATATTTTAAAGTCTTTCTGTAAAGCTGTAAAGTTTTCCTCTTCACCTCTATCAATGAGATCAATATTTCTACTCCAACATTGTGAAACACCATTATAATGGCAAAGTAAAATGCGGTCCTTCTACCATCAATAGTTTAAACACACAAATTAGATAGTAGCAGACTGTAAACCCTAGCATTTGTTCTTTAAATGTAACACCTGCGTTATTTTTCTCCTTCATAAAACTGCAGTGGGGGAGGGAGGGAAGTAAAAAAGGTTAACTACAGACTCGTTCCTGGGTGGGGGGGGTGGGTATGATCCTCCTTTCCTCTCTTTTCCTGGCATAGCGACTATGAAACGAATCGTGCAACTACATCTCTTTCGCTGTGAACATGTCAGTTCGATAAGCAAATGCAGACTGGCCTTAAGGTGCAAATACTTTAAGTACAGACTAGTAAGTGTCACCCTGGGCATGTGTTGTGGTCTGGTGCCCGCACAAGAGGGCTGTGGCCCCGATCGGCGGAAGAAGGGAAGCGCTTTACCTGCATTCTGGAGGGTCTCGATGTTCTGTGGCCTAGTAGCAAGTTCAGCAACCGTTTGAACAAACTGAGTTCGGGCTTTTTGATACTGCTCGAAAACTGCAGGTGGGAGAGGGGGACAGAGTTAGCATGAGAAGAGATCGCGAGCCGGGCCAGTCCCTCCCGCCCCGCACACGGCTGGAGCCAGGGGCTCGCTGCGCCTGGCCCCCAAGGTGGCAACTCCGATAAGTAAATACCTTGTAAGACCTGCCTCTGGCTCATGGCTCCGGGTGGTGGAGAAGCTCCCGAGTCAATGGGAGGGGCTGAGGGGGCACCTGGCGCTCTCTACTTGGGCTACCAGCGCGGCGCGCGAATCCCCTCACGCTGACTCCCGGGCCGAGCAGGGCCGCGCCGGACCAGGCAGCTGCTGCTTCGCGCTCAGCCTGGCCCGCGCCGCGCCGCGCCGCAGTGTGTATCTTCTCCTAGGTAACCAAACGGAAGCCGGGCGCCTGCGTGGGGAGGAGCCGCCTCCGCCGGATTGTGACATCAGGTGGCTGACCCCGCAGCCTAGCGCGCGGAGCTGCTCCTCCCGGGACACGTCGCGCATGCGGGCGGGGGCAGCCCCGGCCATGGACACAGAGCGTGCGGGTGTTTGGGTGCTCGAACCTGCTACGCAGATCCGTTGGGGGCTGTTAGCAGCGTATGTACATAGTGGGGAAAGTGCCATGAACCTGCTGGCTGCTTAGTCTGTTACGAGCTATAGACGGTCTATACACTGCGCTGTGCATAAAGTTAAACAAGTGCGTCAGTGCAGGATCCGGCTGTCCTAGCGGACACATAAAATGTATGGCATGTCTTTCTACTATAATGACATATACACCATATCATGTATTTTATCACATCGTTATATCGTGCTTTTATTTATTTCATTGCCTTTTTTCTCCCTAGAAGAAAAGCTGTCTCCCCATTACCTGTTTGCCTTTGTGTGTTTTGTGGAACACGCACATTAATTAACATAAGAATGGTCATAGTGATTCAGATCAATGGTCCATCTAGCCCGGTATACTGTCTTTTGACAGTGGCCAGTCCCAGATCCTTCAGAGGAAATGAACAGAACAGGGAAATTAACCCAGTGATCTATCCCCAATCCCCTGGTTCCAGCTTCTAGCAGTCAGAGGTTTAGGGACACCCAGAGCATGGGGTTGTGTCTCTGACCATCTTGGCTAATAGCCATTGATGGATCTATCCTTCATGAGCCTATTTAATTCTATTTTGAACCTTTATACTTTTGGCCTTCACAATATCCCCTGGCAAGATTTCCACAGGTTGACTGTGTCTTTTGTGAAAAAATACTTTATGTTTGTTTTAAACCTGCTGCCTATTAATTTCATTGGGTGACCCCGATACGTGTGTTATATGAAGAGATAAAGAACACTTTCCTATTCACTTTCTCCACACCATTCATGATTTTATAGACCTCTGTCAGATCTCACTCAATTGTCTCTTTTCTAAGATGAACTGTCCCAGTCTTTTTAATCTCTCCTCACATGGAACTGTTCCATACCCCTAATTATTTTTGTTGCCCTTCCCTTTACTTTTTTCCCTTTTCTTATATATCTTATTTGAGATTGGGAAACCAGAATTGCATGCAGTATTCAAGGTGTGGTCATACCATGGATTTATATAATGTCATTATGATATTTACTGTCTTATTATTTATCCCTTTCCTAATGGTACCTAATTCTCTGTTAGTTTTTTTGACTGCTGCTGCACATTGAGCAGATGTTTTCAGGGAATTTATCCATGATGACTCCAAGATCTCTTTCTTGAGTGTTAACAGCTAATTTAGACCTCTCCATTTTGTGTGCATAGTTGGGATTATGCTTTCCAGTGTGCATTACTTTGCATTTATCAACACTGAATTTCATCTGCCATTTTCTTGCCCAGGCACTCAGTTTTTGTGAGATCTCTTTATATCTCTTTGCAGTCAGCTTTGGGCTTAACTACCCTATCTTGAGTAATTTTGTATGGCCTGCAAACTTTTCCACTTCACTGTTTACTCCCTTTCCCAGATCATTTATGAATATGTTGAAAAGCGCAGGTACCAGTACATATTCTTGGGGGACCTCACTATTTACCTCCCTTTACTGTGAAAACTGACCATTTTTTATTCCTTCCCTTTGTTTCCTATCTTTTAACCAGTTATTGATCAGTGAGAGGACCTTCCTTTTTCTCCCATGACTGCCTACTTTGCTTAAGAACTTTTGGTGAGGGATCTTGTCAAAGTCTTTCTGAAAGTCCACTGGATCACACTTGTCCACGTGTTTGTTGACACTCTCAAAGAATTCTAAGATTGGTGAGGCATGATTTCTCTTTACAAAAGCCATGTGACTCTTCTCCAATAAATCATGTTCATCTAGGTGTCTGATAATTCTGTTCTTTACAATAGTTTCAACCAGTTTACCTAGTACTGGCTTATTGGCCTTATTACCAGGACACCTTTTTAAAAAATTGGTGTCACATTATAGTTATCCACCAGTCATCTGGTACAGAGGCTGGTTTAAGATAAATTACATACCACAGTTAGTAGTTCTGCAATTTCAGATTTGAGTTCCTTCAAAACTCCTGGGTGAATACTATCTGATCCTGGTGAAGTATTACTGTTTATTTTATCGGTTTGTTCCAAAATCTCCTCTAACAACACTGCAATCTGGGACAATTCCTCAGATCTGTCACCTAAAATTTGCTATCTATCTATCGAATCACCTATATTTCAACTATGTATTTAAGTGGCAAGTTTTAGGTTTTATATATATATTCAGAGAGCGAGAGAGTCATTCTAAGTCATTGTAGTATATGTAAAATAATACAGACATTTCTATCTTCTATACATACACACACATTCAAGGGGTCCGATTTTAAGAGGTGCTTAAGACCCTCAGCTTCATTTGAAATTTACTGTGCTCATGACCTATAAGGAAAACATCTCCACTGTTTCTGCTTGTGCTAGGCTCCAGAGAAGAAAGATTTCATACAGTTATGAGATTTTAAGTGCTTCAGTGAAAGCCACAGCAAAATCCTTCCTCCCCCGAGGGAAAGCCTTTAAATGCTGCTTTAAAATTAATCTCAAATGAAGGGATCTCTCACCCCCTCAACTGAGTGAGATTTAGCAGGTCTACTTTTGTGTTTTAATTTAAAACCCTGTTTGCTTTCATTACTTCTGGGTTTTCCCTCCGCTTTATTAATTGGAGGGGATGAAAACGTAATGTGTTTAGTGAAAATCAATATCTCACAAGAACTCGAATGGCATTTTAACAAAGCCCAGCTGGGTCTCCTGCAACTGTTTAAGGTCTTCACAAAAAAGATTTAAGCATCGGAAACAATTTGCCTTTGCCTCTCCTTTCTCTGTAACTGGATTAAAGAATTAACCCAGTTTTAAAACATTTACTTTTTTAAAAGGAAATCGGCAGCCTCTGCGTTTGCACGCTGCTCTCCGCTAAGCAGCCGGGAGTTGAAGCCATAGCCCCAAGCCGGAGGAGAGAAGTCCCCTTGGATAAGCAGGGAGGAACGGAACTGAGCTGTTCGAGGCGCCAGGCGGGCGCAGCTACCCACCCCCACGCATCGCCTCCCCCAGAGTTCGAGGCTTTCTGGAGCCCTGGTAAAGCGGCGGGAGTTTGGGGAGGACCGAAAGGCGGGGGCGGCTCTGCAGTAGGCAACGTATAGACCTGGCTCTTGTTGCTCCCAAGAGCTGCACCCCACGGGCCCGATCCTGCGGACGTTCCCTGGAGACTCTCCCCTGCCTAAGGTCTATAGCTCTGGTTACCCTCGGGGGTTTCCGCGGCACTGCGCGCAGCAGCAAGCACTGCACTACGCGGGGGTAGTGCATGTTTCCAGGCTCGGGCTCTCCTCCTTTCACTTCGCTGCCCGAGCAATGTCTGTATTACGAGGAGCGTCCTATCTCGTGGTGATTCCCTATGGAGACAAACAAACTGCCGGCAGCGCCTACTGAATCCTCAGCTCAGCGGCAACCTTGGCCCCGGGGGGGTGTAGGGGGGGGGGGTGGTGACTTCTGCATGCCGACGCTGCTGCTTCTGCTGAGGACTCTGCTGCAGGCAGCGACCCAGCCCGTACGCGGCTGCTGCTAGTTTTGGTGACCTCGCTAATCCCACGTTTGGGGTTGGCAGGAGACCTGCTGCCAACCACTTGGCTGGAAAAGCAGCCGCTGCTCCATTGAGTGTCTTGTATAGAAAATAAATCTCCATCGCGGCGACTCTTGGCTGACTGCTCAGCAAGGAACAACTTCGGGTGACTTCCAAGTGCTGCTGCTAAGCCGCTGGGGAAACGCCTTTTCTGTTTGTTGGGAAAGCGGGGGGGATGTTTATCGTTATAGTGAAACCGCTTGTTGTGTGTGTCACCCACTGGCAGCCGCTGGCGGAGGGGGGAAGTAGGGGAATTATTATTTTTTTGCACCCCAGGACAACTTGTACTTCGAACAGATCAGTCATAGTCATAACGCTCGCCCTTTACGGGCACCGGGACTCCCCCCGCCCTGCGCTCTCGGTCACGTCACTGGAAACATCAGGCATTTGCTCCATTTGCGCAGAATAAGAAGCTCCGCCCAACCCTCAGGGGCGGGGGAAGGAGCCGAAGCCTCTCCCCAGCACCGAGCCCTTTTCGTCAACTTGAGGTTGCTCAGCAGCACGCGCAGCTTGTCCCCGCGCGCCACGGGCAGGCCGCTCCTTGCCCCAAGCTCCGGCGGGGAGAGACCAGATCGGCTCCCCCAGCCCCGGCACAGGCAGGAACGGAGCGTGAGCAGCCGCCTCGGAGCACAGGCGACAGGCGCACACCGCGCGGCTTGCTCCGGAGCCGTTTCTCCCCTCCCCTCGTCACCAGATCGATGAGCTAGGCAGAGAGCCCTTCGCCATCAGGCACTGCGCGGGCACTTTGTTCTGTTTCCTTTACACGAATCGCAGTGAGATTAAAATCACCCAAACCCCCGCAGCAGCAGCAGCGCGCAGCTGGTTGATGAGACTGGGGCAAGTGTTGACGCTGAGCCGGCAATGGGTCTGCGCTGCGCATCGCGCATGTGCAGCCGAGAAATAAATTTTGTTTTTGACTCGCTTCCTTATGATAATGCAATATGTGTACACAGCACACAGTTGTCTGGGCACACGTACTCGTACACACGTACACAGACTTGAGGGCTGATGTCTTAATTAATAAAGAATAATCGATTGTAATTTCGAATAAAAGCTATTGCCTTTTTCAGGCGCAAGTTAAGTAAGGGGGGCGCCCACGTGGCTTCTGCCGTTCAAAACTGGGGTTAGGAGAAAATTCCATTTCTTCCCCTCTAAAAGAGCGGGAGTT